ACACGTTTTTCTACGATGGACTTTCAGGGTAGGAATGCTGTTGCAGACTTGGTTCAGTTTTGAAGAGTAGAACAAAGGCTTTTCATGCCAAGCAGAGGTGGCGAGTACTGCTCTCTGGAATCGGCCTAGGTTTAATAGGATTTGTGTAGGCTTATGAGTAGAAGTAGTTCACAGAACTAGTAGAAGGCATCTCCAGGAAGTACTAATGATACAGGGCGCAGGTAAATCCTGTGTTTGTGAATAGCTCCTTGGCACTCTTCTGGTACTTTGTAACTTTGAGTATGCTATAAAGTACAAGATAAACCTTCTACCATAGGTGTTAACAGTTGTTTTTATGATGAAACGATTTGCATTGGTTTTGCTTAACACTTTGTACTTAATGGGTTTTAATAGATGTAAATGAAACAAATTGATGTCTTTTAAATTACTTAAGGACTTTTTGGAAATAAGTCAAACACTTTAATCAGTTACACATAGCAGTTTGTAGGTTGACTTTTTGCTTTTTCGTGTTTCTAGCAACTTGACTAACTTCCTTTTAGTACAAAATATCCTGTGTTGAAAAGAAGCTACTGGCAGCTTTTTAGAAATAAAAAATAGTGGTGCACAGCATTTCAAACATGCTCATTTTTCCTGGCTCTGTCGTTGAATAGAATTTTGTTGAGAAGTTGCAGTGAAGAGGGGGGGAGAGAGGGAGAGATACAGATAGAGAAGCCTCTCTCTGTCAGCCACTTCTTTAGTCTGAGATTCCTTATTTTATTGCCTGATTTCTTCTGTGGTGCAATTGCAGAAGCCTTTTCTAAAATAACAGTTAATCCAGAAATAGAAACTTTTTGCACTTCCTAACCATTAGAAGAATGGTCTGCTTTGTTTTTAGATTTGTTCTTCATTTGTCAGTTTTTATCTAAATAGTTTTATTCACTAAAAATATGATAAAAGTAGGATTAAGGAACAAGTATTTGTATCAGATACAATAGAAGCATTTCAGTGTTTATCCGAGAGACTTGCATCACTCCACATTCTGAAATCAGTAGTTGGGGGACACGACACCAGCAATTTCCTTTATGGTAATAAAACGATGTATTTTTTTTTTTATGATGCAGGTTTTTTGGTGTGTCAGCTTAGAATGAATTTGCGGAGGAAAAACAGTTAGTCTTGCTGCAAGCCAAGTAGGCTTCTGTTTTTCGAAATTATTACTCAAATTTGAACAATGTCTTTGATCTTCAACTTGGTGAAAGCATGGCCTTGTATGTTGAGATATTTTGAGATCCTCTGAATTGAAGTTCAAGGCTGTAAGAGTTTGCATAGATGTTTCAGATCTCTAGCTTTTCAAAATAATACCAATTGGGACAGATTAAGAGTTGTTGAGTTGCTGTACTAATGACTTGAAATAAGCTCAATTATAAGTGAGGTCATGTTTTGAAAAGAGGTATGAACAATAGTAAACACCATTCAAGACCTTGAAAATGTCTTCAGCTACAACAGCAACCAAAAAGGAGGTCTGAAAGAGTGGGAGAAAGAGACAGTTTTTGTTAGTGTTTGTAAGAAAATTTGCTGTTTGGAGACTTTGCTATTGAATTTTGCATATTTTAATTAACCACCTTAGTACTGACATGTATTTTCACTTAAAAATTTCTCAAATCAGTGTGTAGATATTCCCAGGAAATGAGTTGCTTGCTTCTGGTGTCTGAGGCAGGGAGTATGGGAGAAGGTGGGAAGACATTGCACATAATTAAAGATATTTAAGAAAGAATAGGAAGTTGTCAGAACGAAGGAGATGTTTTGACCAATATAATTCCTTAGATGAGGTAGGATATTGATTGATTAAGGTGAAGTTTAAACAAAAAAGAAAAATCTGATGTGATAGAATCAAAGCAAAGCATGCCATTTTGAAACAGAAATGTGTAAAACATTTTGATATTAGAGGAGAGAATTCTGTAAATCTGGGGACACTAATGTGTGTGTCTTCTCGTGGAATTGTAAATATTTTAGCATATGAATGATTTTCAAAGAAAAGTCTGTAAGTCAACTGATCTATAAAAGGAAAAAAGGTTTCTGCTGTAGCGTGTCCTGATGGTAATGAGACTTGGTGAAGCACTTAAGTTATGTTTTCTGAAATTATTGCAAAGAATGTTATGGGAATTAAAAACCTCGGACGACTCAAGGGATTTGACACATTTGTGGTGATGCCCTCCTTTGAAAGGATGTGGTGAGGATTCAAAATACATATTTAAAGATTCCTAAATTCTCTCCTTCAAAGTCAGATTTTGTGCACCCCTTAGTATCTTTGGTTTTGTACATTTTAAATATTAGCTTTAACATCCTAAAGTCTTGTAATTGTTGCAAAAGCAAATTTGTTGTCAGTCAATTGAACATGATTATACTGACACCCCAAATATACTGCAGGATAATATGAAAGTGAGGGATAAGGATTCATTCATTTAGTTTGTCTTCCTACATCTGCCACTCTTCTTCCTTCTATCCCCGAAACAAACAAGACCACCCTTACTTTAGGGTAGCTGGAGGATCTTCTGCATTAGATCTCCCCCCTCTCCTTGTTCTTTTGGAGTGTGTGTTTTAGTAGAACCAAGATCAGTCTTCTGCTTTCTTCACCCCCACACACTGCTGTCTTTCCTGACTGCTTGCTGTGCTCTAAGTTGAGCCAACAGCATTGATTGGATTTTATCAGAAAACCTAGTGGAAGTTGCTCTTTTCCTTACACAACTTCAAGGTTTCAGAAGATGCATTAGAATAACTTAAATAATTTAAAAAAAAATCAATTTTATGATCATGCAGAATAGCTTGAAACCTGTAGGCTGTTTGAGTTTCAGTATTAAAAATCTACTGATTGAGTTTAATTTTTTTAATAAAACATATATTAAAGAAAATATTCTTAGTGTTATACAATACCTGAGAGATTGAGGAGGTGAGTATCCTAAAGGTGACAATAGTGTCATTTCTGGCAGAAGTGTACAAAAGACAATTTTGCTTGGAAGTAAAATATCTCCTACAAATTTCTTCAGTTGCTCGAAGAGGATAAGAGTTCTTTTGGCACTTGATTTACTCTTAGAGACGATCAGCTTCAGAAAATGTGTTCGGATCTGCCACAATATCCATTCTTCCGCCCCCCAGCTCCCCCAAGCAGTTAGATATCACTAAAAAATTGCTGTCTTCACAATCTTCACAAAAAAATAATTCAATTTTTTAAATTAACCAAGTTGATTTAGACTTTAAGCCAAGCCATTATATTGTTTCCTTTAGCCAAAAAAACTTTTTCTGCAATATGTTTTCTAGAAATGGTAAGTATTGGAGTGGTAGTAAAATATGCCTAAAAAGATGAACTTCAAGAGGGTTACATGTAATTATAAACTCTTTACAGTGAAAAAAAGGTAGGCATTACTACTTGTTCTGGTTATATAACCTTTACAAAAACAGGGAAAGCAGTATTCTAAACACTGATCTGTTTTTCTAGCTTTGTGTCATTCCTTGTGAAACTGCAAATCACATTAATACAGCCTTTTAATGTAATAAATTTAACGTGTTAGTCTCTTGTCTTGTTAAAATCACTGTTGTTTATCTCAAATTAAAAAAAGAAATTCCTGTGAATGTCTCTCTCATTTGGATGTTTTTCCGTTTCTCCTTTCTTTGCTGTGTAACTTTGAGCATCAGTAGTTTTAATGAGTTCAAGCTCTTAAAAAGTACACACTGAAAAATGTTCATCAATTAAATTGTCTTGCAGTGCTTTGAAAGCTCTATCAAATAGTTGCAGCCTTATCTATTAATGGAATGGTTTCAGAACATCTGAAACCCTGTTCATCCACAGATTGATGATAGAAATTTTTGATTATCCTATTAATATAGCTCTAAATTAAATCTATAATTGGGTCTTATATAAGAGCTGTGCTTGCATATTTTCTGAATAAACTGGTACTATAGACCTGAGGCATTATCTGTCTACCTTTTGGTCATATATTTTCTTTCATATTTAATTAGTGTTTTGCTACTGACTCCCCCGTTTCTTTAATATGGCACTGTATTTTGAAAAGTGCTTTAGATTCAAGTTGTTTAGCAATTACCTAGCTCCAAATGAGACCACAGGGTTGCAATTTTAATTTTCCTCTGTTTTGGCTCAGCTCATAGAACTCTGAAAGTAGAGCACTTTAAAATAACCAAATACTCTTCTGCAGTCTTTTTGTGGATGTCAGTTTAGTTTTATTGATTTGATGAGAATTTTGTTAGGATTTACAGTTTTGTAGAAACTGCTTCTTTTTAAAATTACACGAGGTTTAAAATTATACTTGGAAGTGGCTCTGCACAATACTAGGAGAGGGCGAGGAACGGTTTCAAATAGAAAGTCTTGCTGTTATTGCAAGTTTTCCCATAAAAATATATATTTGAGTAAAATAGAATAAACTACCAGGTATCGTAACACATGTCCTGAGTAATATTAAGAGATTAAAAATTTTTAAGGGGATCTACAATGCTTACTGGCTTTGCAATACTGATTTTCTAAATCCTAATGGTTTATATCTTAAGCAGAGATGCTTTAATAGGTATATTGTGCATATATCTATGGATACTACAACACTGCTTAATTTTATGTCCTTTTACCTAGGACTGTTTGTTTACATGGCTTAATGAGGAAAAGGATTTGTTTTGAAGATGATGGATTGGGAAGCATTTAATCATTTTATATTTGTTCTGGTAAAACGGCTTGTGTGCTAGGACTGGGGATGAGGATATTTTCACAATGATCTTAATAAACAGCAAACCAAAACCAAACCAAACCCTGCATGTGTGTTTGGTCGCTTTTATAGAATTTGCACAAATACAACTTTAAAATTGCTTACCAATTCTGAGCTAATGATTTATTCAAGTTTACACTTGCTCGCTAGTGCTACTTTGGTGGCTAAGTATAGCTAGTTTCTTCCTTTACCAACAGTAATGTGCTTGCCTTTATTTTACCCCATATTTGTATTTATTCTTTTTCTCTTCATTTGCAGCTCTTTGCAAAAAACAAACCCCCCAAAGGTCTTTATGTCTATGGAGATGTTGGTAAGTTTCAGTTGCATCAGTTCCCCTGGAATTTTCTCTAAGTGCATGTTTATTCAAATTCTGAAGTGTCTAAAAGCTTTATGTTCATGTAGCATTATCACTTTAATGAATTTTCCAGGATGAGTTTTCTTCCACGTTATGATGTTATTTAATATAATTACACTCTGAGTTGTGGAATCTGTTGGATTGGACTACATTACCATGTGTAGTTTTGTTTCAGAGTTACCCATGCACTAATATTCCAGAATGCAATGTAAGAATTTGGGAAGTAATCGAGAGGGCCACGGGGAGAATTTATATATTCTGATTGCAACAATGCAGCATAAAAACATACTTGCTTTTCAAAAGGAAATACTAAGGATGTTTTCTGGATGCATATGGAGCCATTTGTGCAACCTTTGGGCCATCTCTGTATGGATCAAAATTTTAAAACAAAAAAATAAAAACGCAGTTGTTCCAAGTTTTTGAACATAAAATGTAACTGTTCTTCACAAACAGTCTGGTCTTGTACTTACTCTGTGGAAGAGTATAGTTTCATTAGTTTAAAGCTAATGAACAATCATTATTGTAATCAGTACATACTGTTCTTAAAATAGCTAGCTGTTTGGGGTTTTTTTGTTTTTTATTTGAAGGAACGGGAAAGACAATGGTGATGGACATGTTCTATTCTCACTTAGAAGTAGAAAGGAAGAAGAGAGTCCATTTTCATGGCTTCATGCTAGACGTACACCAGAGTAAGTGCAGGCACAGGTATTTACAAGAATTTTATGAATTACGATATCTGTTAAAAACGTTTGTCTCATTCTCATATTCATATTAATGAACACAACTTTATTTAAGTATTTAAGCAAAAAAAGTAAAAAAGAGAGAAGTTAAAGGATTTTAGCATTTTCTGTCATACCAGAATAGATATTTATTTCATATTATTTCTCAAGTATCTTTTCTCAATTCTGTACACCTGATTATATGGAAAACTTGGGTGTATATTTAGGATTAAATCCTTAATTAAATGTTCTCCAGTTACCAGTTAGCTTACATGCAATCTGAAAGAAGGCAATTGCTAAAACTGAAACAGTAAAGGTTAAATTGAATCTGCATTTTGAATAAGCAATAACTAAATCAGATATAAACATCAAGGAGAACAACAACTGTTCTGATTGGCAAACTTAGTAATACTATTGGCAATTTGGAGGAAAAAATGATAGAAGGAAGTTCATCCTAAGTCTCAGAAATTTTCTGACATAGTGTATAAGGCACTGCATTTCGATGGAGATACTGTTTTAGATATTTTAACATTTGCTTCTGTTTCTGAATTCTATGACCTTAAAACGCTGTGCAATTGTTAAATAAAACTGTAATTTACAAGTATTGTGACAGCTGCATTTTTCTTGGGAAGCTTTCATTGGTGTAAAGAACTTCTGCCACTTTTAGTGCCCTCTTTTCTGTTATCACTGGGTCACTGTTGAGATTTTCTGTTTCCATTTCTTGTCATTTGTGCTTAATCTTAACAAAGGTAGATTCTTACTGCAGGATCTTTGTTCTCCGAATGTTTGTTTATAGTCAGTTGGAATACAATCCATGCGACAGTGAAGTATGGATGAAATAATCTTACTTTGTGCCAGTATCATTATCTATACTTTTTAAAATGCAACTTGTGTTGCTATGTCTGAGTTCTTTTAACTAAATGCCTTCTAAGTATACTTCAGACCGTGCAATGCACAGAGCTGTGCCATTGATTTGTAAATGCCGTAAGGGTTTTTAATACTCTGAGAGAAGATTAAGACAGAAAATGCCAAATTAAAGTGAAACTGAAACTAGGGTCATGAATTGGAGCAAGATAAAACTGTAATTTATATCACTCTTTAAAAGATAAAGTATAGGTGCATAGCATTCATTTGATTTTTGTTTTACGTACTTCTAAACAAGAAAATATGAATCTCAGAATCTATGAGCTTTTAATAGTGGCCTGGATGTGGTTTTGCCTTCTTGAAATTGAACTGAATTTGAAGCTTTCTTATTTTTACTGGACTAGGTTACTTTTTATTTGGTAGCTACATAATTTTGTTCTCCCTATCTTAGAAAAAGAAGTATGAAATACTTGTTCTTTTATGTTTTATCAACTCAGGAATACATCGCCTTAAGCAGAGCTTGCCAAAAAGAAAGGCAGGTTTTATGGCCAAATCATATGACCCAATTGCACCAGTAGCAGAGGAAATAAGTGAAGAGGCTGCTCTCTTATGTTTTGATGAATTTCAGGTAAGAAGTCAGAGGTTATTTCTTTGCTTCAAGGGAAACCTCATAGAATTACTTTTAATCTTAAAATATGACACTTGTTGGTGCTAATATAGTATTTGAATTACTGGCCAGTAGTGAACTGTAGAAGTTGAAGAGTAGAAGTCATTTCACAGTTTTGAAGATGATGTTTGTTGTTTTGGTTTTTTTTCCAGGAGATATGATGTAAGTTGGCAGTTTAAGTCCCCTTATAGTGCTTTCATTTACCAGTCTAGTTACTGGTCATACAAGGGGATATTAGAGTTTGGTGAGAGGCTCCTGAGTACTTCAGGGCAGGGACCATCATCTTGTACTGAGTCTGTACAGTGCCCAGGAGAGTAGTCACCCGATGCTTGCTTGGCATGCCTGGTCTTTGCCCTAGTTCATATAATGCAACAGAATTGTCTCAGTGTGATTAAGGATGTGGAAATAACATGTCAAATTCAGCCTAAATTCTTTCCTAGAGTTACTGGAGCCTTTGGCATGGCAGTGCTAGATTATATCAATGTAACTAACATTTTAAGAAACTTTTATTCAATTAAATGTGAAAATTAAAAATAAACTCATAAAATGATCTTTGCCCAAGCTAACTCGGTTGTTTCATTTGTTTTACACAGCTTGTGAATTTTGTTTTAAGGGTGTGTCATAAATTTAAGTGTAGAAGTGCTTTTTAGGAGAGGGGCTGGAGGTATTTGGCAGCTCTAATCAACTGAGTCTTTTTTTCATTCAGAGAGAAAATGCAGAGCAAGATAAGAACAGATCTGTGTTACTTCTCAAATCACCAGTAGTGGAATAATCATCTGTTAGCTGTGAATTATGTTCTTAAATTAATACATTACTGAAAAGGATAGAGCAATTTGTATCTCCTAGCTATTATTTTACAAGTCTGCACATCCAGGAAAATAACTAGTTTATGATCAGCTCCCTTGAAGGGGATTTTTGTAGCTGTAAAGTAGTAAGTGTTCTTTTAAGTTACTCTTGCATTTTTTGACAAGGTGTTTGATCTATGGCTTCAGAATGTGTGGGGTCATTGCAATTGCTGCTGTTTGATCATTTAAATTGTGCTTTATCTAGTAAATATGAATGCTGGGCTTCCAAAACTTGCAGTATAAAATCTAAACACAGAGACAGTTGTATTTATACTATGAAGAAATGGGAGGGTTTGGAGAGGGCAGGGAGGAGTTTTAAGTGTCATGACATCAGATGCTCAAATGGTAGAAAGAGGCACCTTTGCTGTACCATGTGTTAGTGTAAATAACTGCTTTTCTGTGTAAATGCCCACTGATTTCATATCCTGGTGTTGCTGTGTTTCCAGACTGTTTGTCATGTTTCCACATTTTAAGGAGACAGACTGGTATTTTTTGTTTCCAAATTGATTGCCTGCTCCCCCTGCTGACTTGCTTGAGGTACACCAATCACTTCAATTGTAAAAATCACCTGGTTTTGTCAGCGAGTCACAGTTGGGAAAGTAATACAGGAACTATATTTTAAAATGTGTATCTAAGACTTTGCATTCTTATGTGAATTTTAAAAATGTACTTGTTGTGGGTGTACTAATGTTCTAAATTCACAGATTTCTGAACAGCTGGATTTCTTGACTGATTTTCTGTAGCATGGAACACTATGCAGGCTTTGCCTACTGAAGAGGAGTCCCATCTTTCTGACATTTTGCAGAAGGCACTGAATTTGGGAGAAGAAACCTTCTGCTTAAACAGTCATAAAGTAGTGCAGTGACTGGAAGAGCAGCTCACATGGTGGCACAATTTACATTGATAATAAGGAGCCATATCTTAGTTCAGGATGTTTGCAGCTCATTTCCCCAGTGGAGATAATGGCTAGATTACACTGCAGTCTGATTCACTCATATTTAAAGAATTATTAGATCAAAGTGAAACTGGAAAGAGCTAGAGACTTAGAACATATACTAATCTGACTTGCAGACAAAGCTATGGGGCTGTTTTGACAGATACAAAGTCAAGTTGGGTCTATACTATTTTGGCAAAATACTTGTGTGTGGAGGAAACATCAGAAAACTATTGATATTTGGTTGAAACACTTCAGGTTGCTTTCAAATACCTGTTTAAAAAAAAAAAAGCTGAATTTATTTATCTTAAGATCAGATGTGGATGAGTGGTATTGTAGCAGGGACAGCAAAAAGTAGTGTTAATGCTCATATTTCAGAGGAAAACAAATACAGAACTTCAAAAGACAAAAGCATTGCTGAGGTTGCACATTCCTCTCTGACAGTGGGCTAAAGCAAAACAGAAGTACTCTGAAGTGAATCTTCTTGCAAAGCCTAGAGAAATGTTGAACAAGTGGAGAGTTGACTAATTGATGTAGAAAAATATTTCAGTACTTTTAAAAGTAGTTCTGTGCGTTCCAAAATATTGTCATAATAAAAAAAGTAATTCCTAGGTCTTAAATGTTTCTTTTTGCAGATACTGTGTGATAGCCAGGACCTGAGTGATGGCATTAAGCTTCTGAGTTTGTCCATTCTGAAGCAGGTTTTCATCAGCATTTGCCTGAGCCACAGGCTCTTGGGTTATTAAAGCACTGCTGTTTCTTACTGATCTTTGTCATACAGTTTACTGTAAATATTCAAGTCTTTAAGCCGTTCTAAAAATGTGTCCTTATTTTGAAGAAAAACCCTAGAATTAAGCCATTTCTAATTATAATTTTGATGTTTCAGAACACAGAGGCTGGCCAATAAAAAGAGACTAGTTATTGTTTAGTGACCAAGTAACTACACTCAGGTAATTAGACGCTCTAATTTTGGCACATGTTTGTAACCTATGTTAGTTAGTATTGATACTGAAAACAGAATCCCTACTTCTTGGTAAGCTGGATGATCATACAGTGTTAGTCTTTATACCTTTGGTACCACTTGGACTTAAAGCAAATTACGATTTAGGGAGTTTTTACTAACCTGCATGCTATTAAAAGCCTCTAATAAAAATTAGGCTCTTATTTTGATGCTAACACTAATTACTGATAATACATGCTTATGTTTGTCATTCATTACGTGGAACTGTACCAATCAGTGGATGACTGAGTCTCAGGCACTTACACATGTAAATTAACTATTAGTCTAGTGTTTTTTCTTTCTTTTTTTTTTACGTGTATCGTAATGGAAAGCATCACTAGGTCATAAAAATCTTTTCTCTTAAATGCTAATGAAATTTCTCCATTCTCTCCATTAGCAGGCTCTCCTTATTGGTAATTTGTAGCCTTTGCTTTTGTTCCCAGTTGCAATGAATGCTGGATACAGTAAAAAACATGAGAAATGACAATGCTTGAGTTACTGTCTTCTCCGTGCTTTACCCTGTAGAAATTTTCTGTCTTTCCCAAACTGTATTAGATAAAAAGAGCAGATATTTGCATGCCAGTTCTCAAAATGGCCCTTGCTTTTTGTCAGAACTTTTGAGACTTGTATATGGAGTTGAAAACATCATAATTCCTTATCAAATAACACTCTCTTATTCATGAGAACTGTTACTGTTTTCTTTTATGTGAGCATTAATATTCTTTCTCCTCCCTGTTTTCTAAAGGTAGCACACCTTACAGTATTTAAAAAAAAAAAAGTTTGTATCAAAATAGTTTATATAGTTTATATAATTTATTTTATAGATTTACATAATACATTTTTAAAAGTTTGCTATTAGGCTTGCTTTGTGGTACAAGAAATTTAATTACCCCTAAAATGCACATATATACTGATTCCTTGTGTGTCTTGGTTTTTAGAAACAAGGAAAGTTCCTAAATTTTAGTATTCAGAAGAAATAAATTATTGATAGGTGAGTGCATAGGCAGATACATTAGACATATAGTACAATAGTGAATTACTATGAGCTTTTTGGCATATCGGATCTTAGTAATCAGAGATGTGCAAATCTGAAGGGCATGTTACTGATTGTGAAAAAGTTTGTTTTTGAAAACAGAAAAAAAATTCTATATTAATGCATTCCATAGAACTAATTAGAAGAAATCTTTGGAAGAAGGAAACCGTTGTTTACATGCGGTTCCTTGTGAACATTATTGCTTCCAAACTAGCTGAAAGGAATGTAACCTAAGTCTTTTACTGTATCTAGTGTAGAATTAATTTTTTTTGCTGCCTAGAAAGGTCATTTAGAAACGGGGGAATGATGGGGAGTGAGGTGGTGGTAGAGTAAGGGAAAAAAATCATACTGGTTAAAGTCTTTCTGTAGATGTATAACTATCACAGCATACACATCTGAACTGGCAAAGCATAGGAATCTGTCAGTCTGTTGTTGAATGAGTCTGTATAACTCTCAGCATGCCACCACTTTTTTTTATTTTCTCAGAATTGGAGGTCTGTTTTGGTAAGTCAAAATGCAACAAGTGACTGTATAATAATCAAATGGAGTGCAGGAGAAACAAGTATAATGATGATAAAGTTGGTTTACTTATTAGGTTTGTTGATCTCAGCTGGTAAACTCCTGTGAAATATAAATTGCTGTTGTAACAATGGGGGCATTTTGTTCAGAAAGAATTACTACTTTCTTTTTCTGTTTGTACAGCATGGTTTCTGTTTTGTGTTCGTCTTATTTCTGTACTGTGAAGCAAGTTATAGATATTTAAAGAAATTTTACTTTATGGCTTATGTTTTAGTCTTTTTATTTTTTTTTTCTCTCCCTGGTATTACTTGTCCCACCCATTTTTATTTTTTGTTAGTATTTTGTGCCTGAAGGTTAGAAGAGGCTGACTGTGCTGGAAGTGACTGCCGTGCCTTTTGATTATTCATGGACAGTAATAGAAGGCACTTAAAAAGAACAATGAAATTGCTTATTTTTGTGATGGGCCATCTGTTGAATTGTTTTTTGCAACAATCACACAATAGTATCTATGTCATACCATTCTATTTTCAACAGCAGCTGATTATGTATAGTTGGCTACTTGTCTTTATTTCTGAAGTCCCATGACCATTTAAATTCACCTCTGCAAACCTTTGCCTCAAAGGTAATAGAAATGTAAAACACCCAGTGTGTATTTTCTTTCTGTCTTCTGTTTTTTTCATGTTGTTTTTAATTAATTAGGCCTCTTAAATGTTTAGGTCTGTTTTCTGTGTCTCCCACCTGTAGTTTTATAATAGAAGTTAACATGGAATCATTTAGCAATTGGTAAAGAAATGGTGGAGTTTGGCAATAAAGAGCAGGCAAGTTTTGAAAGACTGATACATTCACTGCTTATTAATTATCCCTTTTATTTTTTTTCTTGCCAAGCAATAATTAGAATCTTTCTCCATGGCTTTCACTAACAAGTATTTTTCCTAGCTATAAAGCCACTTGCAGATCTATTGCAGCAGAAGCTGAAAGCAAGATAAAACAATTGTGTTGTCTTCTACAGGTCACTGACATTGCTGATGCCATGATTCTGAAGCAGCTTTTTGAAAATCTGTTCCAAAATGGGGTTGTCGTTGTGGCAACATCTAACAGGCCGCCAGAAGGTAAAAACAAACATGGTATTAGTATTATCCAAATACAGTGAATCTCAATATCTTAAAAAAATCGTGTTAAAATCATATAGTATTTAATACTTACAAACTCTCTAGTTTTCAAGAATCTGAGATACTCCAATTTGTCCCCTATTTTTTTGTGTTCTTGAGGAAGAAAGGTTTTTCACTAAGTCTTCTCCCAAAACTCAAGGTGTTCCTCCCCCCATCTCCCCTGGGGGGAGGGGGATTTGTGAAAACACAAATTCTTCTGTGCGTTCCGGTATTCTCTACTCTATCCAAACCAGTGGGAGGGTATTTGGGGACAGGGGAGTTCAGCAGAGGTAAAATATTGCTTCTGTTTTGGAAGTATTCCAGGACAGGAAAAGATCATGTTCTGCAGAAGAGAGGGGAAATTGGAGTATGTTCCTTCCTGGTTTGTAACAAGGAAACTTGCAGACTTGATCCACCAGCTCAAAGGAGGACCCCTTATCAAAATACCATTCTCTCAGCCTGGTTTGACATCACTTGTTGGGAATTACTTAGGTGGAGTCTTGTTTCCATTTCTAACAATATTTTTAGATAGAGAGTGACTATCTAGGTAGATTCTTCTACAAAGTCCCCAAATCTCTATGGGTTTTAACCAAGCAGTAACTGTAATTTTTTGTAGAGGAGAAAAATGTTTGTTATAGTGTAGCATTAGCAGTTAGCATAGTGCATGCTTGCTACGCAGCTTTTATGACATTTCAGATTAATTTCAAATGTTTGCAAAAATTACTGAAAGTTAATTTTTCTACCCCAATTAATTGAGTAAAAGAGAACCACTAAAGATTTATAATGCACTTTATCTACAAAAAACAAAAAAAAAGAGAAGAAAATGCTCAAATGTTTTTAATAGAGGGGCAAATAATTTCCCGTTGGTTTATTTTCCTTGTTTGAGCAAACAAGATGAAATCATAACTACTGTAGTTGGGTTGGCTACAGATAAACTGGATGCGGATGCCTTACTCAGTTGGGAACCATCCTTGTGCTTTTTGAAGCACTACACTTTAAAGTTCAGGAGATATTTTTATCGTAACTTGGGTTTTGTTTCCCACATCTTAAATTGAGATGTCAGTTTGTGACCATTATTGTTGTATGGGTTTTTTTTAAAATACATGTTAAGTCACTGTGTCAACCTGAAAGATATGCAGTAGTACTAACTACCCAACAGAGAATGTCAGGAACAGCATCTCCTGAACTGAGCTGGAGATGCAGTTCAGACATGGATCAATGCCTGTCTCTTCTTCCCTTCTCACTACTCTTCCATGCTCACAGCGTGTGTCTGAAGTCCTCCCACAGGAAAGAGGTTTGGGTTGTGTAGTATGCTACATCAAGGTTTAAGACTGAATTGAGAGATTCATTTCTTGTGGATACAAAGGGGAAAAGTGGCCTTTTCATTAGACAGCAGATGTACCCAGCTGCTGACCATTTAGTGATATGCTTAACCATGTAAACTGCCCTGGGGAAAGATGAAGGGAAATACTCAGGTGCAGTGTTTGAGGAATCCTGGCTTCATTTCTCCACCAAGACTACTGTTTATTTTTCTTATCCTCACAAAACAGAGACATAATACAAAACTTATTAACTAGAAGAACTAACAGAAGTAGCTGTCTTACCGTACTGTTACATGTTCACTAATTTTTGCAAATAAATATGCACTTCGTTGCTGTTTTAATAAGTGTATAGCTATCATGATTTGCAGAGTTATGAATGAGAATGATACATGGCTTCATACAGATTGGTTAGTGATTAGAGTGCAGAATCACCTTCACTGATATTTTTCCTAAATGTTTTTGTGTACATATCCAATTTTGTGAAAACCATTTTGTAAGTGTACCACAGTAAACTGGATGATACTAACTTTGTAACTCAAATAGTGTATTTTTAGTTTATGTTGGGTTTTTCCTCTCTGCCAAATGCTTGGGACTTAGCAGTTGCATAGTTTTGGCCTTCTAATCATACCAATGTATAGCCAGCATTACAAATCCTTTCTTATATCCTTACTTTAAAACAGATGCTTGTCTTATTTGTTCTGCTAAAATCAGTTATATGTTGTTAGAGATTTAAGTCATGTTTCCCTCCCTGCCTTTTTCAGACTTTCTCAGGATGTTCCTTTCTTCCTTAAGAATTGAATTTTCATACAGCAAAAGAAAAACCAATTTCAGCTCTCCTTTTCTGCCTTTTGTTCCTCCTCTCTCTAGCAACACTGAGTTTTATTTGCCAGACTAAAAGACAAGCTGACATTGTTATTAAGACTAAGTAGCAAAATGATACTGATTTCCTTTCTTTCAGATCTCTATAAAAATGGTCTTCAGAGAGCTAATTTTGTACCATTCATTGCTGTGCTGAAGGTAAGGAGAGTCACTTGTTACATGCTTTTCAATTTTGCCTGCTGTATTAATAAATTAGAGATTTGTACAGGATTGCTTTGATACTAGTTCCCAAATAAGATGTGTACACTTTAACTGTTTGAGGCAAAAAGAATTGAAGGTAAGGCAAAAAGGAAGTAATCTTCTCTAGAATTAACATATCTTTAAGGCTGGACATTTTTAGTATGACAAAAATTACCTTTTTGACTAAGGTAGTAGAATTTGTTTGTTTGGGTAGGACTTTCTTACTTGTGTGTATATGCTGAGTAGTATAGTATTCCTCTAAGTTATACTGTGGTGTACTTGTGGACATGTTGCATTTATTATCCTACGAAAACTTGGCGTTCCTTTGGTGTAGGGACAGGAGTGTTTGGTATGTACCCCTCATTTACCTTGTTTCTGGGTTTTTCTTGTGTGTAAGTGGTTTTCTGCATGGATATTTGTGAGGCTTCATGTGATGTTCAACACGCAGCAGGTCTGAGGCAAGCTTCCTGGAGTCTGTATGTTGTGGTATGGCAGTCCGTAAATGTTATAATTGCTTCATTTAGTTTAAAAAATGAAGCATCCTTTCTTAATGTGAATAATACAAGCAGTTGCTTATTTTACTGTTTAAAAAAAACCCCATATGCTGAACTCACACTTTTAAGTTCTGGGTAAGTTGCAGATATTTTTAATTCACAAATTGTATTGTTACGTTATTGAGGGCTAGCATACAGCTCCTGTGTCCTGCTCCACCTGGGCTGACATGACATGTTAAATGGAAAGAACAACATTTCCCTACCTCACAACAGTGTTGCCAGCATAAATATATGAATAATGTTAACTATATCAATATCTAAGATAAAAGAAAGGTAAGATAGAGTTTAGGGTAGGTTTGGCTTAGTGAAAAGAAATTTGGAGTTGCTGAATGAATACATTGGTTGGATGTTTCTGTTAAGGTGGTCAGTAGTAAAGCAGTTGGCAGGGGCCTTGGGTTTTCAGTGGGGCATTTTGGAATTGTAAGATTGTTTAATTGCCTAAGCACCTTTGAAAAAACCCATCTAATGTTGACATTTGAGCAATTACCAGGTTTCAAAGTTAATGTGCCATTGACATGAATGTGGCACTCCTATGTGTCTCAGAATGGCTGTGTATAAAGTCAGGGAGGTTACCAGTGAAAGTGGTTCTTACCTGGATGGCTTTAGGAAAGTAAGAAACATAAAAATAAATGAACAACCACTTCCACTTCAGATTCTTGAAAAGGGTTTATTCTGTAGCTGACTGCATTGGATGCAGGAGAGGTCCTGATCCTAGAGCGTTTTCAAGAATAGTGGTTGTTTCATATGCATTTGCTTTTTGAAATGCAGTATCTGTGGCAAATCTTTCTTTTTTGACATCTCGCTCCTTGTTTGACTCTTACTTTTCTTCTTGATAAATGTAAGGCTTTTTCATTTTACTGATGATGAGACTTAAAGAATGTCTATCATGTATGCCTATTTGTCGTTTCCTTTTTTCTCTTTTTGGCTAGCTGAAGAAAAAAAAGTGAAATGTAGTTTATGCATACAGAACACCTCACCAGGACTGGGAAAATAATCTAAATTTTTAGAAGGGACCTTGTGGATAGAATGCTGAGAGGAGCCCTAATACGGATTGGTTTAGAACTGTGACAGAGGATGGAGTAGTGCAAAAAGAAACAAGTAGCACAACCCAGACTAGAGGTAGATGAACATTACCATAATAATGAATGAAGGGAGAAAAAAGGTTTCATGCAACACACTATTCAGCAGGGCCTTTCTAAAATTCTGCATTGCATGTCATCTTTTTTCCCCCTACATCTTTGTGTTTTAACACTGCTCTAAATATATCTGCCTCTAATGTCACTTTAATAAATGTAATCAATATAACATGATTCTGAATAATGCCTGAAAGGTGGATCAGAAGAAGCTTATCAGCAAATGCTTCTCTGACCTTAGTTGGAAAATGGAAGGGTAATGGCAAAGCATTAAAAATAATAATTAAAAAATTTCCAAATCTACATTTTTAATTCAACATATCAGAAGTAGGCATAAAAAAACCCACTGGAATGTATTTTAAAGTAAAACTTTAATAAATGACCTTTACATTACAATGGTGTAGATAGAACTACATTGATACTTTGGCGGTGGTGGTTTGAGAAATGCAGATTTAGGCTTCCCCAACGAGTGTATAATTGCACCATGGCATCCCTATATTTTTTTCTCGTGGCAGTGGTTTTAATGGATGGAATAGCTTCTGCATCAGCTGTTTCTAATTCCATGTGCGACTTTAGGAAATGTAAAGATGATATCTTCCAGGGTTTTGCAAGGAAATATAATGGAAAAATATTACATTGGATGCTTGCAAATGTGATTTACTGTGTTCTGTACCTTCACCTCATCCCAAGTGCCATGTGTGTCTGTGGTAGTGTCATTCTCATCTAACCTGTTCCCTGACGGTGGCTTTGACAACTTGGACTAACTTTTGTCTTAGTTTTCTCTGGACTCAGAGCCTCTTGCAGGGTTTTTGTTTGGGGTTTGGTGAATGGTTTTTTTTGTTTGTTTGTGAAATTAACTTTTATGATCATAAATCTTAAAATAAGGTCGTACCACTAAAAGTAGTTCAACACAGGAGCTTCGAATTCTTTTAAATAATCTTGGAAAGATGGCATGAATGGAAAGTATCAACAGTACATTTCTGTGAAGAGAAGCTTCACTTGAAATAGGTTTCAAGCTGTTTCCATTCCTCCTAAATGGAACGCATAGTTCCTAGATACCCTGGTAACTGTTTTACAAAAATCTTTCCCTTTAAATGATCAAAAGAAACAGTTTCTGTCCTAGATCCAGAATTACCAATATTCATCCTTAATATAGTTGTTATCTTTGTTTTTTCAGGTTACATAATTCCAGTGTCTGGTTTTGGGTTCCTATTTCTTACAGATAACTACAAACCAATTTATGTAGACTAAGCACAAAGGTGAAACAGTGCTCTAGGGAAGATAGAGTTATCTTGCAATAATATGCAATAACTGCAAACAAATACTGTCTTTGTATTTTTGTCTGTATTTGCCTTTCTAGGTGGCAAATTACTGGGGACAACTGATCGCTGAATGCCTGCAGTGGGAGGTGCAACTGATACGTACCACTTTCTAGGGCCACATAAAAGCTCCAGGTCTGTGTAGCTGGGCGGGCCAGTGAGACTATTGGCAGCTCTTCCTGCCCTGCGTGTGTTCCCTGCCCAATTCTGAACCTATCCCAGTATTCTGATCTTTTGAAATCTTAAATAGTTTGAGAACTAATTTTTCAGCGATTCTTTAATCCTGTAATTTAAAGGGGTAGTTTTCATAAACAGGGAAAAATTCTCAGTTGGTCAGTTTACTGTTGTGGCTAAAATTCTTTGGGACAAAATATTCTTTATGCAAGGGCTTAATTTCTGCAACAGATAAGAATGCTGCTTCAGTCCATGAAATTTTACAAGGATAGAGCTTTACAGAGATAGTAAGTATTAGGAAGGAAAATCTTTTGATTCTATAATTGCAATTAGATTCAGTGCCTTCTGATTGAGCTTTTAATCTTGCAGCATCTCTTACCAAGCATTTTAAAGTACATGGAACACCTAAGTGATTTTTTTTTTTTTAACAAAGGTAGTTCTTGAAAAGAAAAATACTAATTGCTCACAGTTACTTTGTTCAAATGCTTAGAGCAGAAATACTCCAAAATTTGTTAATCTAAACAAATAAATACAAAAATTTTCTAAATATTTTAAAAGTGGTTTACAAATAAAGCCGTGTATCTTTAACAACTTGATGTAAATTCTGAAGTGAGGCTCTTCAAAAAAAAAGAGAAAGCAGGCTTTAATTTACTGGTTTGGCAGTAATTTTGGCAACATTGTAATTTTTGCAGACATTTACATCACTCTTAACTGTTCTGGAATCCTAATTCTAATTCAGTGATTAGTTCAATGCTTCTTTCTCTGGAAAATCAGGAAGGGAAGCTCCCCAAATAGTTTGTTGTGTAGAGTCTATAACTTAAATGAGCAGCTCTTGAGCTTCCAAAGGTTTTTCTGGAACCATAGCGTGAAGTTTTAAAATGTCAAGCTGAGTCAAAATACCAAATACGTAACTTCTGCATTTTGTCAGGTTTTCTTCATGAAGTAGACATACACTGCACCAAATTCTAACTGAAAGAAAGCTTTAGGACCTTTCATAGCCTGAGAATACCTTTAAAAGGTATGGTTTTAAAATAGAATGTTTGGCTTTGGCTACTTGCATTTTGCTTTTCACTAAAGAGAAAGAACCAACCAGAAACCTCTTGTCAGTAGGACATGAAATTACTGTAAGCTTCCTGTAGTGAACTTTTTTTTTTTTCTTCTCCTGATAGGGACCAAGTCATTATTTATTTTAAAAGTATTTGGTTAAAATTACTCTTGACAGTAAGCATTGTAGAACTCGTCTCAAATGGAAAACAATGTATTTTTATACGCTGTATTGTTCAGTGCCTTTCTTGGAATCGGTTAATGATTATTTATTGACATTGTTGCCTACTCTGTGTTTAATTAAAATGTACCCTTTCATACAAAGCAAAAAATGGAGGATTTTAGAAGTATTTTCACTTTTCAATAACTTAGAATATGCAAAAAATCCTTGTTGAAAACATTTAGAGTTGTCCCTAAGGAAATTGTGGGAGTTAGTTTTGTACAAAGGCATTTGGTAGATATAAAATGTCTTTGATGGTGCACTCTGCTTTTGTCCCACCACCTGGGTAAGAAATGCAGGGATTTGTTGATTGGCGGATCTGCCTCTTCTCCCCCCCCAAAAAAGTCATCTCCTTGATGAAATTGATTTGTCAGTTTGTTCCAGTCTAATGGTGTGATAGCCCAGCAGCTTTCAGTATGTTGAATAGTTAAAACCTGCTTTTGAGGTCAGTGTCAGCCACTTTGACCCCTGTGAACTGTCACCTGAGTCAGAATTGCAGGGATTAGGCCTTTGA